GCCAACCGCGCTGGAGACCCGGGTTCGGGCCTGAGGACAGGCCCTGGTCCCTCTTTGTGCTCCGGGGCTTTCCTGAGGACGGTCCCGCTCCCCGCCGTGTCCCGGGACTCTCCTTACCCAGGTGCTCAGGCCTCGCCCTTTGCCAGCCGTGAGCCCCATCTGGGGTCTCTTTCTCCATCTGCTGCCGCTGCGGCGTTTGGCAGCGGAGCCCCGTGCTCTCCTCCTGCCCTCCGCGTCACCGGCTGGGCCCCATCAACGGTCGAGTTAAGATATTTGCGCCAAAACTGCCCGTAGCGATCCTCCTTCGTGCTGGTGCCCACCCATTTGGGTGCTCCAACTCTTTAAAGGATCACCTGGTTAAAGGTGGCGCCTTTGAGATATGAACAATATGGTCTCGTATTGTTAAGACGTGCTGGCGCCGTTTCAACAAGTTCTTCCTCTTCCCTTGGAGCAAGTATCGCTGCCTGCCAGGCTCTTGCTCATCCTTGTTCTAGAGCTTGTATAATGCCTTCCAAAGATGGCACCAGATATTTGAGCACTTTCCAACCCAAACGCCAGAAGCACTGCCTGCCTAACGGTAGGCAGGAAGGTGAGGCTCTTCTCTTGCTCTCGCACTTGTTTTCACTCAAAAACCTCTCTAAGCTCTGGTTGCTTCCCAAATAGGAAAGTCCAGTGGGAGCTTGTCCTGGAGCTTGGTGCAGCTCTGCTTATGGGAGGGAGGTTTTCTGGCCGTGAAAGGTGGTTGGTGCCATTCAGTAAACTGCCCGGAGTTGTAGGTGATTTATTACTTTTTCATTCGTTTAGTCCACATTCCTAAGGAAACAAGGCCTTTGTGATCACGTTGCGTGTGTATGTTGTGTCCTGACTGCTCTTGAGCCCGCTGCCTGATTAAACCTAAATTTGTCAGAGCAATAACCTTCTCAAAAGCAGTTGAGTCACAGAATGTTTGGGGAAAACAAATGACTGAGTCCACAAAAGGGATTGTGTAAATAGTCTGTGAAGAAGGAAAACGCAGGTTGAGGAAACCATCCTTTAAACCACAAAATTCACCTGAGAGAATTACTGTCTCGGGGGAAGTTTTTGGTTGAAGTTTTATGCACGGAGGGCCAATCTGTGGTAAAACACGAGGCAGCAGGTAGTCGAGGTGTGCTTGGTCTGTGTCTCGCGTATTGATTCATTGATTGATGCTTGTGCTCCTGAAATTCCCCACCTGTGTTGGGGGACAAGTTGAAAGAGCTCAGCCAGAACACAGAGACAAGAGAAAAATGTCTTTACGAGTTGCAATTTTCGATCGTAAAAGTCTCTCCCTTTGCATTAAGTGCACAGATTTGTCCTCTAGAACGTTCTCTGCCTCGAGGGCTGATGAACGCCAAGGGAGATCTTGACTAATTCCTGTTTCCTTTGTTCAGGGATATCATGTCCATTTACAAGGAACCGCCCCCAGGAATGTTTGTTGTGCCTGATCCCCACGACATGACCAAGGTAAGAGAAGATTTGGAGCTGGTTCAACTTTCCGCTTCTCTGTACGTGGCTGTCGATGCCTGTTTGAAGGGTTTGTCCAAAGAGTCTTCCCTGAGTGGTTCGAGAGAAGTCAGGGGTAATCTTGCAAGAGCATCACGAGGCTCTAGTTTTCTGGATGACGTTTGGGAGCTGGACTAGATGATCTTTCGAGTCCCTTCCAACCCTTAAAATTCGGTGATTCCGTGAGATGGGCTGCATTTAAAACGGGAGGAGGCTGTCGAGGAAACGGGCTTTGTGGAGAGTTACCATCACAGGGCTCTGAGGAGCTTCCACAGATCAAGGCAGCTCCACTTTTGGGGCCCTGTGAGCCAGGGGGTGCTGATCCAGCTCGTTTCATCCTCTCCCAATGCTTCAAAACAATTGGCAGAGCCGCTCAAAGAAGAGCACAGGCCCTGGAAAGCTGTTGGTCCTTGGGGGCGCTTCTCAGAGAAACATCTGTGAGCCACGGGCAGTGCTGGAGTAACTGGAACCCACCTGTGGTGCTTGATGTTTGATTGTTGGCAGCTGGTGGAGAGATGTGTCCCTGCTCCCGGGTTCTCTTGGGGACGAGGGTCACAGGTCTGACCTGTGCCACCGCTCCCCACTCCCCAGGGCCACAGGCATGGCTACAGCCTCTCCTGCTCCCGTCCTTCCCCTCCTGGCTCTTGTGGGCTTCCAGGACTGGGATTTTCCAATTATGTCAGAGAAAATGTAGCGAGGTGGAAGTTGCTCAAAATGTGTTTCTTGGTGTCCCCTGGTCTGGCTGTGCTGTGTCCTGAGAGTTATGTCTGCATGTGGCAGGGTGGGGGGCGCTTTGGTTTTGTTTTTTTCTCTGCTGCACACTTCTCCCACCCCCCTGACAAACGTGACGTCCCCCCAAATTCACCCCGTGTAAGCGCCTGCCTAGTTTCTGGAGGGGGTGCAAAGGGGAGTGTCTTTGCAGAGCCAGCTCCCACCTAGGGGTGCAGCTCTGGCTTCCCCTCAAAATGTCAAAACACCCTTTGGCAAAATGTGGGTTTGTACAACACCGGCCTTGGGGCTTTCGACTGAAATCCTCAGAAGGTGAAAAGATCGTTAAAGGATCACTTGGGGAGCAGGCTTCCTTAACAGCCCAAAGGGAGTAGATTTCCTGGTATGCAACTGGGATCTTTGAGGGTAATTAGCACGGAGAGAATAGGGTCTTAATTTCAGATCCTGGCAGAGAGGAAATGGGAGCGATTGGTTTCAATACCACCAAATCAGCATGAGGCCATAAAATTGGGGAACGCTCTAGTTTTGGCAGAAATTCTGATTTATTTATTTTTTCTTTCTAAAATTAGATTTATTTTTTTTTTCATATTTGAAATAATTTATTTTTTTTCGAAGCAGTGCTTACCAGCTGAACAGTGATTCAGCCGGGTTTGGACAGTATAGAGATGTATGGGAGGCAGCTGTTGTGGACTCTGGCCAAACCTGGCTTGGTTGGAAACCCGCTTTGCACACGAGGGGAGAGAGAAGTGCGCAGCGGCTCTGGCGAACGAGGGAAGGAGGGAGGGTTGAGCGTGGCCTGCACGTGGCACGTGCTGGCGGAGGGCGCTGCCTCCGTGCTGCTGCCTGGGTGGAGATTTCTTGCCTTTGTGGAGGACGTGACGGTGCTGCACAATTTTGAAGTGGTGCGCAAGACGGGCTTTTGTTTTCCAGATTCATGCATTGATCACAGGCCCATTTGACACGCCTTATGAAGGGGGTTTCTTCTTGTTCCTGTTTCGCTGTCCTCCAGATTATCCCATCCACCCACCAAGGGTCAAACTGATGACAACGGGAAATAACACAGTGAGGTTTAACCCCAACTTCTACCGCAATGGGAAAGTCTGCCTGAGTATTCTAGGGTAAGAGGAGACTTTGACTGTTTTCGTGGGAAATCAGGAGGCGGCTGCAGGCTGCGTTCCGCCTCGCGCACCCTTCTCGGCGCTTCGTGCCCCGATCTTGCCCCAGAGATGTGCTTGGATGCACCTTTACGCTTCCCTGAAGTCGCGTGCGGCATTGGGAGTCGTAAGGCAGCACAAATCCCTCTACTGAAGCGAGAGTCCAACTTGTCTTTAAGAGCACATGAGAGTGGAGCAGGGGAAGCACGAGGTTCAGCGGACGCTGCTGCTTTTCTCCTGCTTCCCCTTGCAAAGTCTCGGACCAGACGCTGCGTTTCTTCCGCTTTTGCGCTTTGCAGCCCGACCCTTAATGTTGTTTGAACGTGGGGTTTTGTGGTTTTAATTTCCTCCCTTTCTGCGGGTTTAAAAAGAAATAAATGAAATTAAAAGCCGCTAAGAACTTCCTTGAGAGCTGTTGGACTGCTCTGGGCTTCCCACCTACATGTATGAAGTGGGGCCGAGCGGTGGGTGTGATGGTTTACAAGCGCTGCTCCCCTGCTGCCTGTTCAAACAGGCTCTGCTGCTGCAAATCCACGTCGTTCACCTGCTTGGTTTTTAAACGTGCGAACGTCCCAGTTGGCTGAATGACTCTTACGGCTCTGTCGGAGGAAGCCTGGCCGTGGTGTGATATTCCCAACCCCAGCTGTGGCAGCTGCAAGGCTTTTGCTGAGCTGGTGCAGCTGGGATGCCAGTACATGGGTCCTTCTGCTGCAGGGAGGTAGCAGCAGCAGCCGGGAGAGGAAAGGGGCAGCAACAGCTTGACTTGCTGTCGGGATTTGCTCAGGCAGCAGAAGTCTGAGCCCTGATGTGGTTTGCTGGGGTGGTTCCAGCAGTGCTGGGCACTTACACCAAAGCTGATACCAGTCAGCTGATAGATCCTGGCCCAGGGCTGATAGAGAGATCTGTTGTGAGGGGAACACCTTCCTCAGCATAGGAGTCTTCCTCATCCAGCCCACAAAGCCCTGAGATCCACAGGGCACATCCTTATCTTGGAAGCATGAGAGCCCAGCAGCTCCCACACAGGCTGCCCGGTAGCTCGTGCAATTGTAGCCCGAGCACAGAACCTGAATTATTGAAGAGCGAACAAAGAGTCTTGGCCTTAGCAGAAAGGGGAAGCGCAGAGGGAGCTGCGAATGAAAGGATTTAGGAAGAGCATATGTGGGTCAGCACATCCTTGTTCAGCTCGCGGGGAGACAGGCCTGTATCTGGAACGAGGATTTTAAGGGCAAGCGACAGAGCAGCTTTTTGTGCTTATGATGTTCTGCGCAAAGCATTTTGCTGCCCGGCGTGTGTGGAACGGGCACCTTATTCCTGTAGCAGAGCATCCGTTAGTGCTTGTGGTGGCCGTCCTTGTGCTGAGTGTCTGCCTTACAGACTGCACAGGTCATGGTCTTGTTTGAGTTGAGTCTTGAAAATCAGGTTTCAGTTCTTAGGGGTTGTTGGGTTTGACTTACAGTAGCGCTGGTAGCTTGTGTTGCTCCAGGCTGCCGTGCAAGATGATAGCCAAAGCCTTAAAGTTCCCCGCAAACTGCTTGGAAATGTTACTTTCCCTCAACTCGTGTGTGATGCCCCGTGTGTGATAGCAGTGGAGTGAGGTTTACCGGCTTCTCTTGCCTTGCTCAAGCTAGAGTACTCGTTTGGTTGAGACAATAAATTCTTTTGACCTTGTAGACTTTCTCAATGCCCAGTGCTTTCTGTACCTGTAGCAGCTGGTTCTTTCCCTGTCGCATTCCTGTAAGGTGTAGGTGTGCTTTCCCGAGCTTTCTGATCTTTGGTAGTTGGAGGGATGGTGCTCACCGAGCCAGTCCCGTGGTGTTAATCGATGTTTTTCTGTTTTGATGCCTCAGCACTTGGACCGGGCCTGCGTGGAGCCCAGCACAGAGTATCTCTTCAGTCCTCATCTCCATCCAGTCTCTGATGACTGAGAACCCCTATCACAATGAACCCGGCTTCGAGCAGGTGAGAGTTTGAGGTGCATCATCTCTGGTTCTGCAGCTATTTGTCCCTTCCCTCCACACCTTGCTCCTGGTGGAAATAGGGACAAAAGCAGGTTCTGTTGCTTGGCTGTTTCCCAGCTCGTTCTGCCTCTGGTCAGAGCTTGAGGAGGAGTTACAGGTTGGCTCTGAACCGGAGGTAGCCTAGTCTGGCTCACGTACATGTAAGGCAACAGAAGAACAAGAGGTATTCAAGAAGTTGCTGGGGAGGTGGGATGGCTCTTCGTTTCCCTGCTGCACAACCCCTGAAATGGTTTCCTTGGCACATGTCATGCAGGAACCAAACTGCTCAGGTTTTCATCGTCTCCAGCTTCTTGGAGAGAGGAGGGTTTCTGTGCTAACTTTATCAGTTGACCTGTCTCCACAGCTGTGTGAGTCTGAGGCTCCGGAGACGTGTGGAATCTTGCCGGCTTTTCATTTGAAGTATAAATTAGCTCAGCGTACGCAGAACAGACAAAGCCGCAGTGGGTTCATGCACCAGTGAAATTCATCGGGCCCAGGAGGGGGAGGGACGAAGAGCCGTTGCCGTTGCGTGGACTCACTGGCCCAAATTCTGTTTCCAGGAGAGGCACCCCGGGGACAGCAAGAACTATAATGAGTGCATTCGGCATGAGACCATCCGAGTCGCAGTGTGTGACATGCTGGAAGGAAAGTGTCCCTGTCCTGAGCCCTTACGGTATGGAAAAGAAGCATGGAGGGAGCATAAGGAAGTGGGTGTGGGGAAGCAGGATGAACTTCTCTGGCTGCTATTCCTGAGAGTTGCTTCAGGAAAGAGATGTCTTGAACTCTGCCTGCTCCAGCGAAAAGTCATTTTGTTTCCCCTGAAGCGGATCGCGGCACCTGCGTGGTGCCCAGGAGCTGCGGCTGCACAAAGGCTGTGTCAGGGCGCACAATGGCTGCATCCTCTGACTTGTGTTTGAGAATAAACGTGCCTTGTCCTGCCGGGGGGGGAAAGAATAAATCTCGGAGGGAGGGGAGCACAGCTGTTGTGGAAGCACGTGCAGAATCTCTTCAGCTGCAGCGCTGCTTCATTTCTTTTCTCGCTGCATCCTGCCTTGCTGTGCCCTGTTTTCTGGGACTACGGGTGTCCGTGCTGACTACCTGAACTGGAAATCTGTGGGATGGGGTGACCCTGAATGATGTGACCGTTGTAACACCCTCGTTTTGTGTTGTTATCTCTCTCTCCCATTTCGTTCAGGGGCGTAATGGAGAAATCCTTCATGGAGTACTACGACTTCTATGAAGGAGTGTGTAAAGAGAGGCTTTATCTCCAAGGACAGACAATGCAGGTGAGTGGCAGGTGATGTTCTTGTTGATGACAAGCTGCCTCAGATAAGGGGGTGCGCTTAGTGACGCGCAACCCTCAGGTGCGCGAGGTGGATCTGGGTTTTTTCTCTGAAAAGCACGTTCCAACTTCGAATCAACCATGAAACAGACCTGAGGCGTTCCCGTGGATAAAACACTATGATCCCCACGTCCAGAATACACGCGCAGTATTTTCAAGAGTGTTTAGATTTCCGAGTGCTGGACCTGAGACGCTCTCCAGATACTTCTTTCAGCAGTGGAACCAACACAGTTCACTTTCCTGTGCATTTGGTGTTAAGCAGGGAGGGCACATGGAGGTTATCCAGCGCTGGAGGCAAGTGAGCTCCATTGCAATGTTTTCCTATTGGGTCACTGCTAGAGTTTCTCTTTTTCTGAGGTTCATTTGCTTGCACAGCAAATAGGAACTTTTCTCTGACACTCCTTGTTCTGTCAGATGAGACTGGAAGTGACTGACTGAGGCAAAAGTTACCGGAGGAGGAAAGGATGGGGGAACAGTGACAATACAGGCAGACACTTCTAGACAGGTTGAATACTTGTTTCTGCAAGGAAAGTTAGACTTAAAGAATAGATTATTGGGTTATTTGCGTATGAACAGATGTGTCTTCCTCCCTCATCAGCCACCTCTTGTCTGACTCATTGAGAAACTCCACTGCTAAGAAAAGACAGAGGTGGTTGATTTAATGATCTCGTGTCTCCGAATCCTTTTTTCCTGTCGGCGGTGCCAGCAGTGGCTGTGTAATTCATAAACTGAAAGCACTCCCAAAGCAGGAGAGTTGTTTGAAATGAAAAATTCCTCTAAGGAGGCTCTATGCCTGACTTAGAGTTGCAGAGAGTGCTGGACTGAAGGCTGTGCAGTGAGGTTTGGTGACGTTGGAGGATTGCCAGGTGTGGCCCACTCCTGTTGCTTTCTGCAGGTTTTATGAAGATCGCTGTGTTGCGCTCGGCTCCCAGAGGCAGTGACTGCCGTGGTGTTCTGCTCACGTGTCAGTAGTGCAAGAAGCATGAACACCACGTGCTGGAGAGATGGTTTTGTTGTCTTCGTTACTCTGTATTTAAAATGAGGTCACTCCAGGCTCAATATCAGTCGGGTGCTTGCCAGATGTGCTGTCTTGTTAGCTCTGGGGCCCTGTGTGGCTTGTACCAAAGATTCCCATCAGGTGGGACAGTATAAACTCCGCCGCCACCTTACACAGCCCTGGCAATGTGCCTTTGACCTGGCACGGGGATAAAAGCAGCAAACGTTAAATAATCTCCAAAGACTTTCTGGCTCTGGCTGGGCTACATCTCAACTGATGACTGAAAGTGAAGATAGTGAGGCTTCCATTTGGAAAGGGTCTGTAGCATGAATATAACATGTGGTCAAGTCTTTGGCCTCTGCATTTTAGAGATTTTCATTTGTAATGTTTTCCCTGCCTCCCTGGAGTGGTCTCGAGACCAAATCTTTGCAACAGCTTGCTTCCTCAAAGCTGGGAGCAGAAATCCAACCCACGTCTGCTTGGCCTTTTGTCTGGTTCTGAAGTGTGCTTGGGTTCGTAAGAGACTCCAAAGAGAAAATATCATCAGTCTTCAACCTCTGCCACAAGGGCGGGAAGTTAAGGGGCCTCTGGTGGGATTTAGCCCTTATGTCTTTGGTCTTTGACTGTTTGTTGCCCAATTACTCCGCAGCTTTCTTCCTTCTGCCTCTTGCTGGAAGGCTCATGGTCTGAATTAAGCTTATGAATGTGTTTTTTTTTCTCCAGGACCCTTTTGGTGAAAAACGAGGCCACTTTGACTATCAGTCCCTATTAGTGCGTTTGCAAGGAATTCGGCAGAAGGTGCAAGAGAAACACCAGCAGGAGAATACAGAAATAGACTCTGAGAGCAGCTCCTCCGAGACAGAGACAGACACTCAAGGTTGCTCTAAAGCTTAGAGCTGTGCTAACAGTGGAGAGGCCAAGCCGTGAGGATGTTCCGTCTTCACGCTCTAGAGTACCCCCGACAGACTCGACAACCAAACCAATACCAGAGGGGAGAAAACTGCGGGATATCTTCTGCCTCCTTTTACTGCTCTGGTGGATAACGCTGAACGAGAAGACTTCACGCTAGACAAAGACAAGCTTGTGACAGGCTACTCTTAAAAGGTACTTACTGTGCTAGAAAGCTGGAGCATGTGGCATCAGGTTATTTTTTTGGAAACATCTACACACTGGTTGGGTTGTTGGTTATTTTTTTTTTTTGATATTTTTTCCCCCCTCCATTTGATTAAAGAATGAGATCTAGACTACAAATCTTCTTTACAGCTTTTCTGTTCCTAGAGAGTGAGCCCTTCCCTGGGGCCATGCTGAACGTGGAGCTGTAGCTGTGGGAGCGCTTTGCTGAGTCCGGGGTATGACGGGGCCCACGCACCGCGGGCCCAGGAGAAACCTTTTTGTGCGGGTGGGGAGGGATGGAGCCTCGCTGCTCTGTGGAGCCCCAGCTTACCTGGTGTCTTTCTTCTAGACACTATTCTAGACAGACCAAAGATAAAGAGCAGTGGTGGAATCTGGGCTCCTTTCTGAAAGCTTTACTCGAGCCCCGGGGGACTTTAAGCTCCGGAGACTTTGGGCGTGAAAGGGGTGGTTGAAAAGTGGAAACTGCAAGAATCCGTAAATGAAGTGCAGGTGTGTTCATCCCGGTGTTTTGAGGAAGGGAGGGTGAGAAAATCGTCTGTCAGAGGCGGCAGGAGCACTTAAGAATAAGTCTAGTTCATGTATGATTTTTCTTAAGGTGTTGATTTGAATTTAGCGTTATAGAAATACTTCATTCTGGCCGCTCTGAACGGAGCCGTTTTGTTTCCTTAACTCAAGTACTCTTTGCTTTCCAACCTCTCTCCTCGGTGTTGTATTTTTATTTCCCTCCCTTCTTCCTCCTGCCGCCTCAGTCCCCGCTGCCACCTTGATCCGTCAGATTTAAACGCTGGGACAAGGGGCAGTTCTCAGGAAGGAAGCCACTGGTTTTGAGGGGAGCTCTTCGGAGGCGTGCGCCTCATAACTGACAAATTCCTTTGGCAAGCTTGGCCGAGTGCAAGCTGGCTGAGCATCGTCAAGTTCAACACTTCAGAGCTTTTGAACGTTTTTTAAGCAGCAGCTTTTCACTGTGAGCGAAGGCCGGCCTCTCGGCCAGGTGGCCGCTGGCGGCGAGTGCCATTATATTGAAGGTGTATTTGGTGTAATTTGGGTGGAGGCGAAACGTTCGGTTTCTCCAGGTGAATGAGCCTGGGATGGTTGATTGGAGCAGCGAAATGTTCTATTGATAAAGGCTTAACCTACTTTTTTTACCATTATTATGATGGGAGCGTTGGTAGAAAGCAAAGCACAAAGTTGCACATCGTCCCGGGCCCTCTCCCGGTTTGCTTAAACCCCTTCCCACCGGCTCAGCCCTGTTTGAGACTCCTGATGCGGTGGGAGAACTTCTAATACGGTCATCTTTGTTCCAAAATAAAAAAAAAATAGTGCAGAAAGAGGGGCCAGAAGCCCCCCCGGCCGTGCGCGGCACAGAAGGGCGATGCCCCATGCGTCACGGAATTATTTTCAGTCTCTGTGATTTCTATTGACTCTTGCAGAACTCGGAAGCCTGCACGCTGCTGCTTGAGCAGCTCTGAAAAGCTGAAAGGTGGGAACGTTTCTGAATTTTTCAAGTGTCATTTAATAACTTGGGAACCTTTTTTTTCCCCCTTTAGCAAGCAAACTCCCTCGGGTCTGTCATTGGCTTGATTTAGACTTAAACCCTGTCTTCCCTTGAGGGAAAGCTGAACTTAACCTAGGACTCACTCAACACCTAACAACCAGCTGAGAGTAAATCAAGCGGCGTTCACCTTGAAACGAGGTCTCAGGGAGGCAGCAGGGTCTCCTGAGAAGTCCTGAGCTGTGTGCTAGAATCCCATTGTAAATGTCACGTCGTTTTTTTCACCGTTCAGTAGCGTCGTGGGTAGAGCCGTGGCTCTGCCGCCTTCTCGAGGCGGAGCTGGTTCCGAAATCTGTTTGTGATGCATGTGGCGTTACCATCCACCGATACAACAGAACAAGAAAATGCCTTATTGTGGACACTATTCACTTAACTAGCATGTGGCTGTAAAAGAGAAGTATTAGTTTTCTAGCTCTAATGTTGTCTGTCCTACCATTTCTTGAATGTTTCCATTTCAAAGTGACAATCCTCAAATGACTGCTCTAGGCAGAGATGTTTTAGCAACAGATTTTTAGATCTAATTGAGTTGAAAATATATGCACAAGAGTCACTCTAAGATACCTTGTTTATATACTATTGTACATAAGATTTTTTTTTTTTTTTTGGTGCAATAAAGTTTGTTTTGGCAGAATCTAGACTGTGGTACTCCTTAGTGGAACGACGACTCACGCACAGAGCAGAGACGGCTACAGAACAGATTCTCGGTGTCGCTGCTGGCTCTGAGATTCTTTAGCCAGAGCTACATTTGCATTCTCCAAGACTGCAGGTGCAGTAGCAGCTTAGGTAATTTTACTCCTGCTGGGACAAGGTAATTGGTTGTCTGTAATGGCAAGTGACGTTTCCACCCGCACCACAGGAGAAAAGGCAGAGGTAAGCAAGTAGGAAACTAGCTAGACACTTGTTACAAAACTTTTATTTTGAGTCCACTGTCCCTGTGATTCAGGTGATATGCAAATAACCCCCCAAAAAGAATTATATGCAGGCACAGAGCACGTAGCAGTCACGGTATCGCTTCCTTGGCTTCCTCTGGAGTGATTTCCTGAGAGTACAGCTCTGTGAAGAGAGCAGGCAGCCAGTACTGGGGTTCTCCCGCTGCCTGCGTGTCCAGCCAGGCCATTCCTTCCTTCAGCAAGTGTTCCTGTACAACCAGAGCAGAAACTGTGAGTGAAGCTTCCCTAAATGGCCCAGAAGCAATTCACAATACAGGCCCAACCCCAGATTTATTTTAGGCTAAGGGAGGGCGCAGAACTTGGCCTACAATAGTACTGATTCAACTTGACCAGGAGAAATATAGTTCAGACATCCAGCCGTGCCCACCCGGCGTGTTTCTGGTGGACCTGAGCTAACAAAATTCGAGTTTTAATGGAGGTGAACGGAGCCCAGGAATATCTGCGGCTTCCAAGATGCTGCTTTGTTCAACCTCCGTTTCCGCAGCGTGTGCTCTGCCTTTCATCCACCACCCAGCCTAGGATCCGCTGTGCATCCTGCCGTAATGCAACGCCTCTGCTGCAGGAGCAGTCCCTCTACGCCGCCGAGATCCGCGCTGCGCAAGAGACCTTCCTACGTACCAGCACTTGCTTTGCACGTTCTGTCTCCCACTTCAGACTGGACCTGATCTCACCGACTGTGACGTAGCCCTTTTTCTGAAATGAGAGGAAAAAAATACCGTTTGCTTATAGTCAAAGCTCAAGTCCGTAGGTGAGGAGAGCGTGGGCAGTTCTGCCCCCAGGCCTGATCTAATCACAACTCCCTGGCAGGGAATCGAGAAGGTTCTTTCAGGATGGTTGCATTTTAAAATCTCCTGGCTCAATACCTCTGCCAGCTGCAAGACGACGGTGTGATCCATGTTCAGCTCAGCTGGCACCGACTGGATCAGGTACGTTCCACCAACAGGGATAATCCCAAAGCCATTCCCCAAGACCTTCAGTTTCTTGATTGCACGAAGGAGATCATCCCTGAGGAGCAAAGGTCAAAGCAGGACTTTAAAGCAAGAGCCTCTCTCAAACTGTGTGCAGTGTTCTGCAGATGAGGAAGACCTGATGTGCAGAAGCTATGGAGCTTGCAGCAGTTTCAGGTAATCAACTGAAAAAATTGTTGTGAAGGAATTTAGAATTAGTTTGCATTCTCTGCCCCTCTTCAGAAACATCACCTGAGCTGCAAATGCTAAGGTTTTAAGATTCAGCCCCAGTTAGTGGTCACGGTGTGTCCTAAAATCTGCTTCTCTAAGGATGTGTGTCAGTCCCTCAGGAGACCACAGCAGCTTCAGCAGAGGGTGGCAGTAAAAGAGCTGAATTTGCAGGGAACTAATTGCCTCCAGCTCAAGGCAACAGTCTTTTATGCCTTAGTGCTTCCAGAGAAAGCGCACGGCTGCTTTCTGAAATGGTTACGTCATTGATTGTGGATCACATGTAAATGGCTCCATTGCTAGAAGTTACATTTGGAGTCCAATTAACAGCAGCACTTTGAAGTGCTGCTGAGATCAGTCACCCCCTCCCCTGAGTGCCACTTGATTCCCCTTTCCTGTACCCCAGAGACACTCACTGGCTGACATCCTGAGCAAACTTGCCCCTTCCCTTCAGCACTTGCTGATGAAGTTCTTCCAGTGTTATCAGGCCTAGGAGTCGACAAAAGGAGACAGGAAAGCATTACTGCACAGCGACACAATTACTCCAGCAAGAGCAGCGAAGGATCCTTTGTGCGTTTGCCACTGGCTCAGCCCTGCCTTCCACTCTACCAGCGGGCGTTCTTTGTTCCCAGCGTCCAGCCTTGGGTGAGAGAAGCATCGAGTCACTTCTGTCCCCAGAACTAACAAGCAGCAGTCAGCTGTTGCCTTCTCCCACAAATGTTACCGGATTCAAGTTTCAACTGGCTTTGCTGTAACCCATTCCTGGTCTCGGACTGCCCTTCTGGAGTGAAGAACATCCATCTTTTAATTAGGCACTTGCCACCGGTATTCCAACTCTCCGGGATATTGCTGTGATCCTTTACAGACAATCTTAGTGCCAAGCAGTATTTCAGCAGTTTCATGCTCCTTCAAGACTGTCACTGATCCCTGCTACTTCCCCACGATACTGCAAGTTATGAGTTTGTTATCTGAACAGGGCAGAGCTGCTTGCTTTGTCTAGGAATCAATAAAGCCAGTGATGACCTGTGCTGTAGCTGTAACGCTGCAGAAACACAACAAGGCTTTTTGGGGACAGTGAAGATAAAACTGCCACCTTGTTAGTTTGTGCAAGCTGGTAAGGAACGCTACGCTGAGCCGCGTGGCCTGTTTTCCACAGCGGAAAGGTATCCTCCTGTTAGCTGTACCTCCTAGAAACCAGACCCAGTGGGATCCTCACCTCCGTTCCTGTGTTTCAGAGCCAAGCAAACTTCAATGATCTGCACACCCAGTTCATAGTAAAAGTCTCCAACTCCCAGCATCTCTGACCAGAATCCTTTACCGGCTGTGAAGGGAGAAAGGAGAAAGTGCTTGGACCATTGGCAAAAATACTTTTCCTTTACAGTTACTGGTGTCGAGCAGGCAGCTCCCAAACCTCGCTGGGAGGACTCTCAGGTC